CACACAACTTGCTTTCTCTCTCTCTCTCTCTCTCACACACACACAACCCGCTTTCTCTCTCTCTCTCTCTCACACACACACACACACAAGCCGGTTTCTCTCTCTCTCTGTCGCGCGCGCGCGCGCGCCCCCCCGGCCCCGCATTTCTTCACGCACTGGATCTGTTCTCCCTCGCTTTCTGTTTACGGCTAACCTCGCCCACGATCCGTGCTCCTCTCTAGTCCGCCAGAACGTCTCCCTGTTTGTCCTTCCAGACACATCTGTACGTTTGCCCATATTGACCCCTCTGTCTTTGTCCCTCCTTCCCCGTGCGCCAACCTCCTTTCCCCTCCTCTGGTCCTCTATTCTCCTGAGATGCGTTGCGTCCTCGTCGAGGCGGAACAAGGGGCCGGCATTAACATGGTTATGGCAAACGGCAACGCTGTCTCTGTGCGTGTCCGCCTATGCGCGCCGTGCGTGTACGTTCATGTGTCTCTGCTAAACTCTCACCAAACCCCTCTCTTCTCCGTGGGTATTCTCTTTCCCAAGCACTGGTAGCGTCCTGTTTGGGGGGAAGGGGCCGGAACGAGGGACGGTCGTCTCTCTCTCTCTCTCTCTCTCTCTCTCTCTCTCTCTCTCTCTCTCTCTCTCTCTCTCTCTCTCTCCCCCAAACAGACACACCTGCTTCCCATGGTGTATGTGCGGGTGCGTGCCTGTCTGCCACTCTCTTTGCCCCTCTCTTTCTTCCCCCTCTCTTCCCCCCCCCCCTCCCCCCTCTCCCCTCTCTCCCCTCTCTCAAACCCCCTCCCTCTTCCCCCTTTCTTTGTGCCCCTCTATCTGCGCGCTCTGTCCTTACCCCCTCTTACTCCTTGCTCTCTGTGTGTTGTCATGGAACCATACTCCCCAAAAAAAGCTGGCTGTGTCTGACTTTTTGTCGAACTTCCACCGACTCATCGTCTATGTACCTGTGCAACCCAAACCCGCCCTGAAGATGCTCCCTCTTTGAGTGCTTCTTAATGATTAGCGGCGCCGTATGCTCGTATGCTTCCCGCGCAGGTGGGGAGCGCAACTGGGGAGCTGGGCGGAGGGTAGGAGCCTGGGTTGAACCTATAAGGGCGCTCATGCGTGAGTGTGTCTATGAAAGGCTCTCTCGTCGGTAAAAGGAGCGCGAGGCGTGGGGAAGAATCCGTAGGGTGTGTCTTTTGAATCGCCATGTAAATTTACCAAAGGAGCGGTGGATTTGACACGTGTTCTGGCATTGATGGGTTTGCGGGACTCGTTCTGAGATTGCAACTGGAAGATGATTTGTGACATGCTTGTATTCGTCTCTCCCCGACCGGAAGTTTGTTTATTATGGTTTTTCTCTCTCTCTCTCTCTCTCTCTCTCTCTCTCTCTCTCTCTCTCTCTCTCTCTCACTCACTCACTCACGCACTCACTCACTCACGCCTGCTCTTCTTCCTCTTCTTTAGGGGTGCATCCTTCCGCTTTTCATTGCGCGTCGCCTGTTCACCGCACGTGAATGTGCTCATCACCTACTTACGCATTGGGCTTGCTATCTCTTGCACGCTTCCTTTTCCCAAACGCTGTCCCCTTGCTCCTCTCGCGTTGCTCCTCCTCATCACGCCATTCTTCACAAACGATCTTCTTCCACTCATGTCGCCCACGTGTCTCCTCGTAATTCTCGTTCTTTCGTGTGTTTTCTCCCTTTTGTTCCCGCGCATATTCTTCTTCAT